CAGAACACAAGGAACAAAAACAGTACCTATAGAGGTGCAAATTGCAGGCTTGATGTTTGGAACAAAAATAGCAGTACTGGTCCTAAGCCGCTGACCAGCAGGCCCCGCTCTTTCTGCGCAGTGCCCACCTGTTGCTGCTGCAGTCCTTTAATAAGTGCTGGTTCATCCCAACAGTGAGGACTACGGAATGGATAGCTTTCTGGCTAAGCGCTTTTGCTTTGGGAAGATCAGAGGCTCTAAACTTGCGCTTTCTGCATCCCAGTCCTTCTGCTCATCACGTGAGAGGAGATGGTACTACTTCGTAACTGGCTTTGGGACATCCTGAGACTGCAGTGATAGCAGTTCTCATCCAGATGTTGCATTGCACGATGGGCCAGAAAAGCGTGCTTCAGGGTCTGCACTCAGGAACCGGTTTATCTGCGATGCAGCGCGCCGCATCTGCCCAGTCTTCAGTGTCTTCAGGATCTCGGGAAGAAAGCGTCCACGAGCGGAAGAGTGCCGACCATGTCAAACCGAGGTGCTTTCGACATTGCTTTCTGCAAATTGTGCGTCTTGAGTGGGTCTGAGTATCTCTCATCACTGCAGCTGCGCCTTTCCAGCCTGTGAGCTTCATGCTTTCCTAAACAGCTTCCCACGCAAATCATATCAGAAAGCTGCAGCAAAACTGCCACACATGCACACATGTAGCGAAGTAGTCTTGTTGCGTGGCGTTATTTCCGGTGTGCATATCTCTCCTTGACACGAGCAATGCCGACCAAAAGCATCAGCATGCAGGCAACATCGGCGTTTTGACGTGACCTGCTGTGAACGTTCGTTTCTCAATGGGCCTTGAAGCATCTTGTAGCAATGGATGATGACCCACGTGATCTTCCCCAATATCATCTTGTGTCTTCTAATTTCCTGTGATCAAGCGCTAGCGTGCATGCCGCCTTGGCATGGGCGGCAGGGACTCGCAGCGGTGCACTGCTCGCGAAAACCGACCGGCTCGACTGGGCTGAGCACGGTCGGCAGAACGAATGGGTGTGGACAGAGGCTGGGCAGCTTGAACGACAACCGAATGGGGGCAGGGAGGAGGGTCCACAACACCATTGTGGAGCAAGCCTTACTCTATGACCTGGCAAAGCTCCGTCCAAGCAAACAAGCTGACAGAGCCTCCAAAATTGGCCAACACACTCGCACAAAATTGTCCGACTTGCCCGATTGATCTCAAAAATAAAAATGGGGTGAGGCATCCTGAGGCGGGTTCAGGGGGTCCACCGGTTCTTGGATCCAAGTGCGCCAGGCCTCCGGCCGGATTGAGCGTAGCTTATCTGTTTGCTGCAGGAACGGAGGGAAATTCAGGCTCGTATAGTTCGCGCACCAGGGTCATGGGTCATATGAGGTTGCTGTAGGCCTCCTACAGGGCTACCAGCTCATACTGCAAGAGTGACGAGCATGCCGCGTTGATGTCGTTGGCAATACTTTGGTTGGACCCAAATGGAGCTGGAAGATGAAGCTGGACGGAGAGAAGGGTGGGCTTTGGGTGCTGAGAGTCCTAATAATGAAAGCTAAGACAAAATGCAAGCCTTGACCTTGGCGGATTTCCTTTCGCTGCTTCAGCAGGTTCTGAAGCGTGGACAGCAGATGAAGAAGACCGTGGACCTGGCAGAAGGTGCAACGGTAAAGGCCACCCTTCACAGATCTTCGCAGCCTACGCGTGCATGTATTGATTACTGCAGCAATCAAACTTCCATCCCTGCAAGAACTATTCAGGATGTGATCTCCACACTTGCGAAGCTGCACCTTGGAGCATTTCTTGCTCAGTTGCTCGTTGTGTCAGCTCGGTCCTGCTTTCATCGGTGAAGCGCTCTATGACTAGGACTGGGATTTCCCGTTCATCCTTGTTTATTGCAGAAGTTCGCAACCTCGACAAAGTGCGTCTTTTCAGTGGCGAGGCTGGGTTTCTGACCGCAGCTCCCATCGTCTCATGTGCTTTGCCTGGACTAAAAAGCAGGCACAGAAGGAACATGCTGACCGATTTCACATAGCGACGATGTTCAGAGCATACACGCGGGTCAGCAGATCATGTGATGCAATACCATCCTGGATATCGTCTTCAATGCCAGCTGATGCCAGCAGCCCAACATTCACGAAGCCGCCAATGGGAGTCCCTGAGACAAGTTTGCAAGCATGTGCACACAGTACAGGGCGTCACGCATGCGCACAGGAATGCTCAGAGCATCACAATTCGCCAGCTCAGGTGCTGCTTGCCCATCTATGTTTTGGAGTCCTATTAGATATCTCTCAGTCCAGAGTTCATAGGATCTCAGTGTTCAGTTCTCTCCAGGTGAGCATGAGAGGGAGGAGGGGGGAGGGTGGGGGGGGAGGCGGGTGTCCAATGTGATTCTGTTGCAAGAGGCTTCGTAGGAAAAAAGTCATGTTCGGTGGGTAATTGTACCATGACATGATGCCTGGTTGTTGCATCAAATCTTTTTTTCCTCAATATTCACTGCCCTGACATGCTCATGGTACAACTAGCAATTCTACAACGACCCTTATCACTCATTTCTTTGACATGTTATTTCCATTTCAATTCTCATGCTGCAACTAATCAGTGTTCCTGTTGATGTTGGAGAACCGTAAGCATTAGAACCAAATGATGTCATGCCTAACTCATTAGCATTATTAATCGACATGGATACTTGTCCGTTGCTGTCTGGATTATCCATTTTGACTCTTTGACTTACTGATACGTCCGAATGCGTAATGTCTACATATCCTAATAGATTGGCCTGTCCGTCTGTTACTTTAATCTTTGGCGTTGATGATTGTAATGCTATTGTTAATGCATCGCTGTTTCTGATGAATCACTTATACTGTGTGTCCAACACTTTTTTAGATTCGACATAAAGCGTCCCAACTAGTGGCATCCGCCTTTCCACCAATATTACCAGTACTACTAAATGTGTGATTATTTTGGACTGCTCTTTTTTAACCGCCTTGAGCGCTCTCGCTCGCAACCCTTTGGCGACGCCACATCTGCCTAGTAGCGCCTAGCACTGAGGACCACCACGTCCTGTCTGCGGCCACTTTAATAGTTTAAGAAATGGTCGTTAAAAATGGTCATCGCCACGGCAAGCACTTGCTCCGTCCATTTACTGCGCCTGTTTCCCGGCCTGTAGGGCCCACCCCAGATGCGCGACTGCAAAAGACTGTCGAAAGAAACTATTCTCGCTGGATGGTCCAGGGGCTTTCTAAAGGTGTGTCCTAGAAGCTTCAATTGATGCAGTCGCACCTCATCACTGAGCAAGGTCTCATCTAGCATTTCCCTTATACTTTCGTTAGTTGTCCTTGCTACGCCCATCTGCATGGCCCCCAACGTGGTATGAATGTTAGCAATAGAACGCAAACAGCGGTAATGGAATGAATCAATTCGTTTAATCTTGGTCTCTGTCAGCCACAGCGTGGAAAGATTGTATAGGAGCTTGGATACCACGCAGGCACGGTCAATTTGCAGCTTTTTGGTTTCAGACAAGCCGGCATGCCTCCACACCCTCTTTAGCTTCTGGAAAACCGCTCTAGCTTCTCCAATGCGTCGCCGAACCTCGTGTCCTGGCTTACCATGTTTGTCTCAATAAGATCTCCCAAGTAAACAATAGAGGAAACTTTGGGAACCGGGTCGCCGTTGCTAAATATGACTGAGGCATCCGAGTTATACAGAACTAGTTTAGTTTTGTTCAAATTAAGATGTAGATTGTACTTTTCGGCTTCCTGCTGCACCAGCAATAGCAGATCTTGCGTCTGTTCTTGGGTTCTTGCTACAAGTACCTGCAAACCCAATATCGAAGAACGGGAGCTGAGGTGTGGTGGCAAGCGGATGTTTACTTTTGTACTGTGACCGCACGTCATGGAACGGGACAGTTTGCAGGAGTATGAACAACAACGGACTGAGTGTACAACCCTGTCGTATTCCACTTTGTTGCTGCTTGCGTTGCGATGTGTGTTCGCCCATGATAACCTCAAACATGGGTTTGCTAACAAATTCGCGAATGACTCCACAAGTGTGTGATAGAACCCCCATCCGTGCAAGCGCGCCATGCAGCGCTGATGGCCTGATGCGGTCGAATGCTTGATTCCAGTCTAGGAACATAAGGTACAACACCTGATGTTGCTTTGTATCTACTAAATCTTGCAAGCGTGGCACTAGATAAATAGCTTCCGACGTGCTACGGCCACGGCGGAGCCCATACTCACGTATATGTTCATCCAGGCCGTCCGATAGCCTGTTGGCTATGATCCTGGCATACAGTTTGTAGCACGTCTGTAGAAGACTAATCGGCCTATAATTTCCTGGATCGTCAGCGGCACTTTTTCTGAGTATAGCAACTACTTGCGCTTCTCTCCATTGTGCAGGGCTACTTTGGGTATCAAAGCAATCATGGAAAAGTTCTAGTAGTGCATCTAAGCCTTTGCCTTGCAACGCCTTAAACAGTTCATTTGGGATCCGGTCCTTGCCGCATCGCTTCCCAACCTTCAATTGTTTGATCGCTAGCTTCAGCTCCTCCATAGAAATGGTCGTTTCAGAAATGGTCGGTGGTGCAGTTAACACCGGTGCAGTGGACAAGTTTGCGGCTTGCCAGCCTCCTTCCACTGCTTCTCTGCTAAGTGAGCTGCATAGATGTCCGCACTTGTAGCTGTACCCGGAACCCCGTCGACTGTGGGTTTCAGGTGAGGACCTACTGACGGAAGGGCTTTCTGAGATTGGTGATGGCACTCCAATCCCCTCGTTTGTAGTTGTTCATCGAGCCATGCACGTTTGTCACGTCTAGCAGCTTTACGGATTTCCCGGTTGAATTCGGCCACTTGTGCCATATCTCCCTCTGTTCTAAAGCGGCCCCTCCTTGCAAGCAGCTGTAGCGTACTCTCCGAGATCCACGGTCTAGATGGTTTTACTGAATATCGGGGGATGTGGCAACTGATGGCAACAAGATAGACCTTACTAAGATCCTCCCATTTGTCCGTTGTGTTCGTTACTACACGCTGACTGCTGTTGAGTTGCTGTTCTATTGCACCGTTCATGTCATCGAGGCTTGTTTGCGATGCTTGCCTAAAGTCCCACCTGATGTACTTAGCTGGTTTTGGTTTGGCTCCTAGTTTAAACGGTACGCAAGCAACCAGCGGGAAATGGTCAGAATCCAAGTTGGCACGACGTGAACTGAAAACCGTGGTGGAGGAATTCCTCCAACGCCTAGGTGTGAGGCAGAAGACAATCTCGGCAAAATCTTGTGGGTCCCAGCTGTGATTGTTGCAAGGCAAATGTTTGGTTCTGGGTTCCTTGTAGGTTACTTGCTTACCGGGCGGGTGCGTCAACCATGTGTTTGAGATACGCAAATCATTGCTTTTGCAAAAATCAACGAGCAGCTGACGATTGTCAGTGTCCTCCCCTGTGAATCGCCACCGCTTACCGTACACACACGACCCAATCACATCCTCTTCACCCATCAGTCTGCCATGGAGTCTGGCGTTGAAATCTCCAAC